AATGGTCATAGCCTAGTCAATGAATGGTTCAACTTTACATAAATCATGTAGTTGAGTAACAGTTTCAAACTTAGAAGTAGACTCGATGGCGTACGTTTAAACAACATGGTTGTATAGTTTCATAGAAATGACATTTAAACTAAATATTCTATACTTTTGTAATAATTTCTTGTTTCTATATATATTTTTTTTACGACAGCAGTCAGTTTACGCAAACATTTAATAATAAATTGTCGAGTTCTTTAGTGTTTAGTGACATTATCATCCTGAGCTTACAAATACAATTAGAAATATTTTAATTACTGTTAGTACGCAATTTTTGCAATCACGTAGCTTTCTCGCGCTGTCATTCTTGGTAATCGATGTATGTGATGTAAGCAGACTTACCTTAACTTCCTGTAATAAAAAGAGGGATTTTACATTAACGTACGCATTAAAGTATTCCTCTTGCTACAGTAATCCACTTGAAAGTTATACGTCAACTCAATCACCGATGCATTTTAATTATTCTTTTGAAGATGTAATCTTCCGTTTCATCTTCTTACATATCTATAAACCATATTATATAATTTGATGAACACAGTTATACATTTTCTGAACCATGTATGTTTGAATATATTAGCAACACAGTTATGAAATCTTCCAACGCAGATAATTTCCCTCTCCTCATTATAGATACGACATCTACAAGAACACAAATATTTACGTTTGACATTCACTAGGTAAGATTTACTTCCAGTGTAGTATATAACATTAGAAACATATGGTTATTGCTAACTTATATAGCATATAACATTTGAAACATAGTTGTTGTTAATATATATGGTATATAACATAAGAGACATATGGTTGTTGCTAACATATATAGTATATAGCATTTGAAACATAGTTGTTGCTAATATATATGTATATAGCATTTGAAACCTAATTGTTGCTGATATATATAGTATATAGCATTTGAAACAGTTGTTGTTAACGTATATAGCATATAGCATTTGAAACATAGTTGTTGCTAATATATATATAGTATATTGCAATTGAAACATAGTTGTTGCTAACGTGTATAGTATATAGCATTTGAAACATAGTTGCTGTTTATATATATAGTATATAGCATTTGAAACATAGTCGTTGTTAATATATATGTATATAGCATTTGAAACATGGTTATTGCTAATATATGTAATACTAGCTGGAATACCCTTCCCCTGGACAGAAGTTATTTAAATTCATGATTAATGAAAGGTTATCTTAGGACATGAAGAGTTACTTCCCTTATATGTGATTGTAAAAAAACGCAATAATGCTCATAAAAAACTGCAAAACACAAAATGTGAAACCGCAACTTTGCACATATATATATGTATAGTATATAAAATTTTAAACATACAGTTGCTGCTAACATATATAGAATATAACATTTGAAACAGTCGCTGCTGCTTGATAATCGTTTCAATATAAACGAGGAAAAAATTCATGTAATATATTCATAAAATCATGTTGGTCAGCGGGTTAGATAAAAAATAATAATTTTGGACTTCAACCATATATTTTCTTCTTATTCTGAATTGCCGAAGATCTAATAAAAACAATATAGCGTCTAACCAAGTAAAATGTAATGACCTATTTGGTTTGGGTACAGCAATTTACTGAAATAATCGTTTAAAGCATGTAATCGATTAACATGTGTTCGCAAAATTTACTTTATTTTCGTATTTCAGTTTTCAACATTAACTTGAATAATAATCAAGAACAAACGACGAAACTCCCCAACAGAACAGTTTTTACATTGACTTGCAAAGAGCAAAACGTGCTGAAATATTTGATTCTATACATTACCATATTCGCTAAAATACAAATTTTATTAGGTTTACAGATAGTGCTCAAGAAAGTGTTTAAAAATAATTTATGCTGGTCCAAAGAAGGGAAGAACCATCTGAGCTATGTTTTTTTTCTTCTTATAGACCACACTGTATAATGAAGGTTGTATGCACGTTACATTAACATAGTAACATAATATTTACATGAGATAAGGAAGGCTTATGAATAATATAAAGGTAACTCGAGTTACGAAAATTTGTTTTTATTAATTTCTGAATGTTAGCTTTTCCTTACCACACACGCACACACAAGTTGTATTCAGTGAGTGTCCTGATTCTGGCGTAGCATAAAAGTCGACACTTCAGACAAGCGTATTTCTTTCTTGTGTGCTTTTGGTTATAAATAAGAGTTAAAGTCATATAGTATGAAGTGAAAGAGAAAATATATAAAACAGCTTACTGAATTTTATTAGCTGTCAAAATAATAAATCGTGTATTTAATAGCTGTGCGATTTCTGCTCTGAAGTTTTATCTACATCAACTTAAAACGATATTTGTTTGTGAAAGTGAACATTTACAAAATTAAAACACTCCATCCTGATTCCCGATCTATGGGGTCGGAGGAGGCGTTCCGGTAATATTTCCACCCATGAAGAATTAGGTAAATAAAAGTTTGTATTTTTAGATTATCATGGTTGAAAAAAAAAATTACGTTTATGTTTATTTACTCATTACTTTATGATAGGTCTTCTACGTTTATGTTTATTTACTCATTACTTTATGATAGGTCTTCTACGTTTATGTTTATTTACTCATTACTTTATGATAGGTCTTCTACGTTTATTATATTCTACTGCTCTCTATCTTCTTTACAGATTTTCAGTCATGTGATGATTGAATGACGTGATATTAAAAGGGGACACATATTAGTTCAAATATAGCCATAAAACCCAACTTAGAACTGACGAGAACCTCCATTTCAGAGAATATAAAACATAATTAAGCCTATCTAGGTCAACATCATGGTATATAAGCAAACCAGGCTTTAAGTGGGGAAAATAACTCGGTAAAATTTTGTTACTGACCCACCCACCTATAATCTCCCTCATTCTGAAAATGTTTTAAGCCTGAACAGCATTAAAGTTGTCTCAAGCTATTACATTGTAAGTCCTTCCCCCATAATGTGAGACACACTAGCTTCCATAACGTAAGAAATTTCATACTACAGTTGCCAACTGCAGTTTCTCACATTATCATCCCTACACTGCTGGCCCCTGATGTAAAGTATAAAAAAATAAGGGAATGTAAAAAACAGTGATCGATAAAGTGAAAGTTTCAATACACGTTGACTTATCAATTGAGAGATACTTCAGTATTCTAACAGAAAAAAAAAGATGAACACAGATTAAAGTTTTTGCGAGACACACACACTACCCAATAACGAAGGGTTTTTTTAAATATCAAAACGAAAGAATTTCCAAATTAAATATATATATATGCCACTATGGCTCTTTTTGCCTTAATGACTGATCATATTTCAATTGAATTTTGGACAAAACTTTACAATTAATACGTAGAAATTCCTAACCCCATAATTTTTAATTAACTTTAAATAGTGAAAACTGTTTCACTCCTTAAAAAAAAATCTATACTTAATACTTGTATTTCCATGATGTTATAAGGTCGTTAAAAGATGTTCCTGGTAAAAGTTTTGGTAAAAACAAAAAGTTAAACTACTGTAACTAATGTATTTTCCGTACAATAGGGGGAAAAAAAGGTGTCATGTTATAAGAGCAATCGATTAATAATCCTTAACCTTTCCTTACAGATACTCACTGGAATGTCACTCTCAACCCTCTGTTTATTGTCTTTAGTGGCATAGTTGGTGGACTAGTACTTATAGCTATCTTGATTGTGTGTGTATTAAAATTTCGTGCAAAACGTGGTAAGTAAAAAGACTTTAGTTCTCCCATTTTCTTTCCCTTCTTATAATTTCTGTAACTAAACAAAGTTAAGGTACGATGTAATTAATCTCATGTAAAAAATGATATATTAAAAGAACGAATGAAATAATACGACAATAAGATATTCGAAACTAAATACCCAGCATTTAAATTGGGAACGAATAAACAATTTATGTTTTCTTGTTTTTTTTTTCTTTGCTGTACATTTATCAAAGTTATATGTAGTGATTATCTTTTATTTACATCAGCTACATGATTTACTATTTGTTTGTTTTATTTTCCATCAGCTATATGATTTACTGTTTTATTTTTATTTACATCAGCTACATGATTTAATATGTTTTTTTCAATCAGCTATATGATTTACTGTTTTATTTTTCCATCAGCAATATGAATTACTGCTGTTTGTTTTCATCAGCTACATGATTTACTATGTTTTTTTTTCAATCAGCTATATGATTTACTGTTTTATTTTTCCATCAGCTATATGATTTACTGTTTTATTTTTCCATCAGCAATATGAATTACTGTTGTTTGTTTTCATCACCTATATGATTTACAATTTGTTTGTTTTATTTTCCATCAGCTATATGATTTACTGTTTTTCATCCTCCAGCAGAAGAAACTGGTTATTTTTCTACTTCTTTTGATACTTTTACATAGTTTTTTTACATCAAATAATCAGGAAATGAAATAAATTAGTAAATCATATCAATGATGATTATTATTTTCTGTATATATATAATAGGTAGCCTAATTGTATTTTTCTGAACCTGTTGTATAAAATATGCATGTATACTTGACACATTCGATTATAATTACACTAAGCCAAAAAATGAAAATATGATAAACATTTATCAGATTCTTAAAAATTAAAAACCGAATTTACTTATAAAAATCAATGTTTCGCTAATCATATGCATTTCTTGCATCCTCTGTTGGAATAATACAATGCTGTTGTGACGCATTTGCCCCACAGTAGCACAGCAGCGTGCCTGCTGGCTTACGACGCTATAAACCGGGTTTCGATACCCGTGGTGGGCAAAGCACAGACAGTCCTTTGTGGAGTTTTGTGCTTAACTTCAAACAAACAAACACTTTGGACTTACGACAAACCTTGGAAATAGAGGACTCCTCATTAGGTTTGATCGTATTAATCACATTATCATTTGCGCATAATTATATAAAAGTGTTATCTGCCGTGATGAGCAGAGGTAAAGACTGTCGGAGCCATACAATTTGGAATACCAGATTAATACAGAGACCATAAGCAGTTCCTTTTGCATATCTAGGTTATTACTGGGGATGTTTTTAACTCACTCTCAAATAGTCCCTTCTGTACATGTGACAGCATGGAAATGATGGATAAAGTTAACTATTCTACATAATGACACCTATCTAAACAAGATGAGTATTTTAAATCGCAAGTCTAATGCCCACGGATGCAATATGGGTGCTGGTAAAATAACTGGAGTTATTATTCAAGACAAACACAATAGAACGCAGCTCTTTAATCAGTATCATCAAGATAGGCAGTAATGGCATTGGTATGACTATACTCTTCACGTGTGAAAGTTGGTTTCATATCTATAGGAATGATCGATTTTTATGGAAGCTAGAGGTGAACGTTGCGTCTTATGCAAAACTGTTGAATGCCCGTTTGTTTCCATGGTGATTCAAGTACTATGTAGGTGGATCAAAATGGAAGGATAATAATCTTACTGTGTTTCTGAAAATAGATTTACTGCTTTATGGTATATTGAAAAGATAAGCGTTCCTGTTAGGCATTGCACTAACTTTGGAATGGGAAAATATATTCTTGGAATATTTTGGAATGAAGAAGGTTATTCTTCAGCTGCCTTCAATTGGTAAAACAAATACAGCACGTGCATGGAGATACTAAGTCAGTGCTAATGGGGTTCATGTCCTAATTACACTTCAAATAGTAATCGTAGTATTGCCTATTTTACAGTAGCAAGAAACACACATTAATAATAATCGAAAGTGCATTAGGTTTTAAAAAACACCCCAATTTATAGTTATATGTGCATATAATTATATATCATTGAAAACAATAAAAACGACTATATAATAATATAACACTAAATATATGCCTTCGAAGAATCATAATTAATAAAAAATAAAATCAGAAAAATACATGCGACAGACAATTTAAAGTATGAGAACACTAAAGCACGTGCTTGTAGCAGCTGCATTTATAGAAACACGACCAAGAAAGCTGCTGGCTTACACTATCCGGTTTTATTTCTGTTCCTAAGCGTCATAAGTGAAATAAAATTTAAACCTAAATTAGAAACATATGTTGGAAGCATACAGCGTTCCACATGTACATTGTCATTCTCCCAATCATTTTTAGGTAGACGGCTGCTTCTAATGAAACCTTGGAAGCGTCATATTCCATAGTTTTTAAGTTTTCTTTGGATCAACCTGATATTCTTACACATCATAAAATAAAACAAAAGTCATCTATAATTTAATAGCCCGATTTGCTATTCAAGAAAGTCTTAAAATGCAAAATAAACCCATTTTAAATACAAATATGGTTTGTCCTCACATTTGCATGTCCAGAAAATATTGAAGCGATACTCCTACAAATCACTCATAACCCATGAAAGCGTTTATTTGCATAAAGAGGGCTGACTGTAAAGTTAAGTAGATAACATTTACGTATATTAATGTAATGTTCTACAGTTTCGATCGTTCCGAGCACAATGCGTAATTCATTTCATATTTAAATTATTTTGAATGTAATTATGCCTTGTATTTATACACACACACACACACAGATATACACATATATATATGTACGTATATCAAGCAGATATGTTTTTTTTGTAGCCAAAAATAAAATAAAAGGAGAAGAAGAAACAAAACTACTGTAGTTTTTTTCTGTTTACTTTATTCGCTCATTATGCATAATAATGCATGGTTCTTCTTCTCTAGAATTAAAAAATAATGACTGCTTAATTTCATATACTACTTTTACTGAATTCAACCTGAGGCAATTACTTACTTATATATATTATTGAAAGCATGCCACATTAGTGGTAAAGGTTTGTTTGTTTGTAATTAAACACAAAGCTGCACAATGGGCTATCTGTGCTCTGCCCACCACGAAACCCGAATTCTAGCGTCGTAAGTCCGCAGACATACCGCTGTGCCACTGGGGGGGGGGGCAGCTGTGAAGGAGAAAGATCATCCGTTAATATAAATAAAAAATACCCTTCATCCAATTACTCTCGTTTTCTGAGTTTATTTCGCATAGTTCAGCCTAGAATGAGAGGAACATCCGGTGTTACTACTGCCTCCGGTTTTTTCTCACATGTTGTCATCCTTAAAGGTAACATATTTTCTAGTCGTATGTGATCTACTTGATAATGTGTGAAAAGATTGTCAATATCCCGATTTGCATATTACTACCCTATATGAGTTGTTTCCAACTAAAGGCCTTGTTAAACAATAATGATTACAGTGGATGTTTTTTGGTTTTTTTTGCGTTGATGTAACACAAAAATACGTGAAATTCACCGAAATACGCTAGAGTAACAGCAGAAGCCACTAATATGTGGTGTGATGAATTAAGAGCTAGGCTGAACGTAAATTCGGTTTTACAACATATAATAAACCGTTACTTTATTTGGCTCTGTTTATAATATAACACCTTATACTTGAACTAAAGCAGAATTTTTGATTTTTTTCGTTCAAATGTTTTTCAATGGATATATATTAAACATAATTTTTCTGACACAAATTGCACTTATTCGACATAAACAGACTTTATGCTGTTTAGATGTTTGTTTTTTCGTTTATTTTCTTGTTGATCAGTTTAACTTTCAGACTGTCTGCAAAATAAACTAAGCTTAGATTCGTAGAACTGGTTCTTTATTATTGGGCTTAAAATTTGTTTTAAACTTATTAATATGTTTTAAGCATATTCTCAAATTTGAACAACGCAATATAACAACAGGCAAAACATGATTGAATTTAATACATTCCTGAATTTTTAAGAACTTTTTAACCAATAGAAGAATTTCTTTAAATTATGATTTCTGTATAATGAGACCATTTCAATATTTACGTCTTTTAACTTTTCTCTCATTACTGACTCAGACTTTAAAGCACATAAACATTTCATGTACTGTGCTCAGAGTAATTAGAATAATGATATCTGTAAGAATAGGTAGTTATTAAAGAAACAATATTTACGTCTTTTAACTCTTCTCTCATTACTGACTCAGACTTTGAAGCACATAAACATTTCATGTACTGTGCTCAGAGTAATTAGAATAATGATATCTGTAAGAAAAGGTAGTTATTAAATAAATATTCGTTTATTGTTAATCCTCATATTCTATAATTCAAACATTTGTAGTTTTTTTTTCATAAGTTTTTTCTTTCACATTTACACAAAGATCAGAAATAATCCGATAATTAGTTGACAAACAATGTAAAGGTCGCGGTCAAAATGCAGAATGACGAACTATATACGAGAACTTGTTCCCAGACCAGTTTCATATAATAAATATATGTGTTGAAATAATATGCTATTAAATATTTAACCTTTATACATTTTTCTGTTGCAATGGTTGTACAAGTGGTCCTATACTTATCATTATTAGATAAATGAATAAATATGGTACAATAAAAAAGTATTGAGAACATTTTTACGTTTTGTGAAATTATTTAATAGATTTCAACCCAAACTAACCCTTAATTATCAGGCTATGATCTCCAAATATAATAAGATACAATAGTCTGAAGGAATACTAAAGTAAAATAATCTTTATTATGGATTGAAATTTTGGAGATTACAGGTATCTGAATCATTCATTAAAAAGTATAATTATATTTCAATAAAAAAATAATTTTTCACTGAAAGGGGTTACTTAAAACAAAGGTACTATAGATACTCTTCAATCAGCATTTTTTATTATGTCATATTTACGAACTTTGGATAAGATTTATTACAACGAAACGTTCGAAGACGTTCAGGTTATCAGATTTATTAATTTATGATTCATTTGTTTTTTTTTCTTATCTGATACATTCTTAGAAGCTCATTTCTGATTTGCCAAAAGTTTCAAAATATAATTCTATGATAACATGAACAGTCGATAACTGAAGCTCTAATTTGTCTTGTTTTAATAATAATTTAGATGATATATATACACTAATATCAATTTTACACGTAATAAATAGCAACAATTTTACAAATTGTTTTCTTCAATGATATATTTTCCTTTTAATAGCCTATATAACAAATAGTATTGTTTCAGTTTGACCAATTTAATGTATACATTTATATTTATGTTACTTTTCCTTTGATAAATTGCTAGAAATTTGAAGCATTGTCATGAAACGAATGATGTGAATCTAATAAAGTCCTCCTAGAGTTGTTTTCTTTTGTTTTGTTTTTTCATTTCAAGAAACTTTTAAATTTATTATGCTCTACTTACTAAAAATACTTTGTTTATCTTATTTGAACAAAAAATTAAATACCTTTTACATAAAAGTTGCATTATATTTAACGTAAACAGAAATTTTGCCCAAAAAACAGAGATATAGTATATGCACTCATTAATATTTTATATTGTATTTGTTATATATATAAAGAAATTCTACGTGTTTATGAAATATAGTTGTAGAAAATCATACTTGGTTTAATATTAAATAATACGCTTACTCTTTTCTACTGTTACTACAAGCTTGCTTTAATTTCGTTTATGC